CCCGAAGACACTCACCGCCCTGGCAAAGATTTGCCAAGGCTTCCTCTGGTGTGGCAAGATGGAGGCGCGCGGTGGCAATTGCGTCGTGGCATGGAATTCGGTGTGCCGTCCTAGGTGGGCAGGAGGTCTCGGCATACCAAATTTGAGGTGGTTAAACACCGCCATGATGGCAAGATGGCCGTGGCTACAGCGTACCGATCACACGAGGCCTTGGGCGGAATTCCAAATTACAATCCCCGCGGAGTCAAGTGCACTTTTTCGCGCGGCGGCAACAGCTACGGTGGGGCATGGACATGACACACGATTCTGGGAGGACAAGTGGATTGACGGCTACCGAGTCCAGGACTTTGCGCCCATGATCTACTCGAAGGTAGCCAGACAAACGAGATCTTCACGAACGGTCGCAGAGGCACTTACAAATCATGCCTGGGCGGTGGACGTCGGGCCTGAGCTTACGGCTGACATGCTCCAGCAGTTTTTGGACCTATGGCATCGAGTGGAGGGCGTGGCCCTGTGTGAGGACGAGCCGGACAAGATTCTCTGGGCATGGGAGAAGGATGGCATGTTCTCGGTGCGTTCGGCATACGCGGCCAAGTTCGCGGGACTTGAGGTTGCTCCAACGGCGGAGTTCACGTGGAAATCAAGGGCGCCATTGCAGCGTAGGTTCTTTGTTTGGCTGGCCATGAAGAATAGGTGCTGGACCTCTGACCGCCTCGCTTAGAGGGGACTCCCTCACCAAAGCTCGTGCCCATTCTGCGGCCAACAGGAGGAGACCATCACCCACATCATGATCGGATGTGTCTTCGCTAGGGCAGTTTGGAGCAAGGTGTGCCTGGCCTTGGGACAACCAGACCGTGCCCCGACGGCGACAGAATCCCTCCCGGAGTGGTGCATCAGGCAGGAGGAAATTGGGCAGCACCGAAGGATATCTAGGACAATTTCTATCTTGGTTCTATGGGAGCTCTAGATCCACCGGAATGCAGTGGTCTTTGACGGAGCGGTGCCATCCACACTCACGGTGCTAAAGAGCATTGAGAGGGAGGCCAAGGCATGGAAGCAGGCAGGGTTACTGCGACGGGAAGTCGAGGCGTTCATACTGGCCCTTGCATCGTGGGAGAGTAGCGAGTAGTCCTTATTCTGAGTAGTCAGGTGGGGTGGCTGAGGGCTACATGTAAATAACATTGTACTTGCATGCGTGAAGGGTTCTTACCCTTTCCTTCTATAATATATGATACGCACACTCGTGCGTATTCGAGAAAAAAAATTTCTCTCTTTGCAGCATGGCAAAACCCTGAAATGCATGACAATTTCTCTGTTATAACATGGCAAACCCCTAAAACGTATGACAGTTCGTTCTGATATAACATATCAATTATCACGGCAAATCTATCTGTCATAGCATGGCAAATCTCTCTATTATAGAACATTCCCTGGGAGTGATCTCTTGAGGAACATTCTCTGATCGAATAAGCCTCCTAGAGTGAATGATCGTTCGCGCCAGGAAGGGCATGTTAGAATCACAAAAGTAATACCATCATTTTTTTTTCAGCGGTGCTAATTTCCCATCGCCTTTTAGTTACTTTTGAATCAGAACACCTGCATTTTATTTGTCGGTTCTAATCAAGCTTAAATGGTATCTTAAAAAAAAGAGGAGTACGAATTAATCCTAATTAAAATTGTGAAATTCTTTAGCCAAGAATTGATCAAAGCAGTACAGCTAGTTCTCACCAAATTAATACTATACACCTTTCTCCGGTGAGTATTATATTATGTTACTGTATGTTGTATTGGTGTTGACGTACACGTCTATTGGATGTGGACTTTGAACACGAGTCTACGCAGTAGAATTTATATTTTGTGCCGGAGAAAAAGAAACGCTCCATCGATCCCGGCATGCAAGTTGGTGCACACCTTGCACCTTGGCCTTTAATGCTTTTGACCTTCTAGACTAGTAGCTAGTCCGGTTCTGGTAGCTATCAGCAGTTCAGCACTGCCCAATGTTGCGTCCCAGGACTTCCAACCTGATTAACCTGCTGAACCATGTCTAAACATATTTTCCTACGCCTATGCATCGCCTCATGCACACACAATTCCATGCATCAAACACAAAAAATAATACTACCAAAAATTGTGTATAGTATTAGTTTCTCTTGGCCTCACAACACCAATTCATCAATCAAAATGGAAGAGAAAGGAAGTTAACCAGGCTAGACAGCTGAAAATTGAAGAACATTGCATATCACGTGTATGATCTTATTGCTCCAAAGAGCGCTGCAATTGCACTCTCCGGTAGTACAAGAGGTACATAGAAAGGAATGAGGATATATGGATGTAACTGGTCCACCATCTCCTTGATTAACTAGCTGGGAGTAAAACAAATGCATGGACCGATCATGCCATGGCTTTGACGATTTCTTGCACTGTGTCTAAAGTACAATTGGATATCCACACTGTGCAAGCATCTTTGCCCAGCCAATTAATTGGATGACCACCAAAGTAGATTTCCTCTCGATGGACAACCTTTAATTTAACAAAGATGAATTCTGTCACATGTGTACTAATGTTTCTTCCTAGCTACTAGACAAGTTTGCTAAAGCTAAAGGTACTGGTACTTCTATCCCAGTGGGTTAGAAAGAATCTGTGTGCTTGAGACTGTACTAATCGTCCTCAGCTAGGGTACAAAGCGCCATTTAAGGTGTGTGTGTGGCTAGCTAATATATTTGCGTCGAAGGAATGCCAGATCGTCAAGCCAAGGCCTCCATCACCATGCTAGTCTCATGTACAATTTGGAACGAGCGGAACGTAAGAGTTTTTAAGCATAAGAGTGTCCCACCGCCAATCTTGCTTTCGTCCATCTCTACCGAGGCAAACCTTTGGGTCATCGCCGGAGCTAAGATATTAGGGTCTTTTATCGCGCCTGAGTAATCCGCATGTGGTGTATTTCGGTGGCTTGTAACAAACTCTAGTCTCTCTTATTTAATGGATGAGGCAAAGCTTTTGCCTCCGTTTCAAAAATATATATATATTTGACTTTCTACAGCTACAGAGACCGAGTTTTAAGCTACATACTGCATCACAATCTCATCCAATTTGTTTCACACTTGCTCCTCAGACAAACCTAGCTATATTTGGCCAATTATTAGGAGTGCTCCCTCCGTTCCTAAATTCAACATAAGCTACTCCCTCCGTCCTTTAAAGAGTGTACTTCCAACTTTGTTGGAGAGTCAAACTATTTCAAAGTTTGACCGAGTTTGTGCAAAAATATATCAATGTTTGTGAAATCAAATAGGTATATGATGAAAGTATATTTTATCACGAATCTAATGCTACTAATTTGATGGCATAAATGTTGATGTATTATTATATAAACACGGTCAAATATAAAAAAGTTTGATTTTCCAAGAAAGTTGGAAGTACACTCTTTAAAGGACGGAGGGAGTACATATGAAGCAAAATGAGTGAATCTACACTCAAAATTGCCTATATACATCTGTATATAGTCCATAGAGAAATCTCTAAAATGACTTGTATTTAAAAACCGAGGTAGTATATAGGATGGAGTATTTCAAATAAACATTTCCATAAATAAACCTAATACTATTGTGTTCATTCTTTAGTCGTAATATTATGGGGTAGCATTGGAAAGGGTGAAAAGCTTAAAAAACGATATCCGGCCCATTCCACACAAATAGCGAAATGTCACATGTCATCATAATATCTAGCTAATTGACCTACTCTTTTGTCCATGGTAGATATATCGATGCAAGCTAAAATATCTGTTACTATATTTCCTGCTACATGCATGTCTGACCAGTGCACATTGCATGGAACCAAAATTTGGAACGCGTCAATCATGCATGCCTTTTTTTTTATGGGGAAGACGTCAATCATCTAACCGACGAAATAGCAACTGATTAGTCAGTACATACATTGACTGCTTCGCAAAAACAAAGCAAGAAAGATACATTAACTGTTGCTAGCTCTACACCGAACGTGGTGAGCACGACTGCACGTACGAGTCATGCATCACCGCACAGTTCACCAGTTGTATCCAAGTTCGTCTAAACTCCAAGTTTATAACACCCAAATTAACCACGGTTGAATTAGGTTTGGATCGACCGATATATTAGATCGATGGATCATCGAGTTTTCTCTAGCTAATGTATACTATAATTAAGGCAGACATGGACCGTAACGTGCATCGATCAGTGACTACATCCAAGTTTAATCTTGCACCAATCATATGTACATGTACAGAAACCACACAAGCAGGGTCTACAGTAGGTAGGTTCACATCACTATGGATGAGTAATGATATCTACACCAGCGCGCTAGCTAGCTAGGTAGCGCTCGGAGCGAGCGACCTGGTCAAGTGATCAGTACTTGCAAGAAAGAAGCAAGCAGCAAAACGACCCTCACTGCTTTTTTCCTTAACAACTCTTTGTACCAACCACAGGAACAATCCCATCACGGGTTCATGACAAGTTACACGGAGTAGCTAGCCAATATCGTTGTACATCGATCTTCTTGCCACAGTTGCCACCAACAGCAAATTAATGAAGCCTATCATGCATGATCGGTTGCCATGTATGCAAGAAACCTTAATACCATACCAAACATGCAAATGGATATGTGCATTCTTAGTACTGTTGCATTAATGGAGCCAGGAGAGACACAAGGAACATAAAATTATCATACATATAGCTTCATGCATGCATGGCCAGTACCGGCAACCAGAGTGCAATATATGCATGAGATGGGGAATTAGGTACTTTCATGTACAAGAACTGCTAGTACACTGACTACTACGAGCTAGATCCATCGAAATGATATGAGGCCCAGAAAAAACTCATTCTGTACCATCTCGCAGCACGGGATCGATCGAGGAAGCAAATCAAGAAGTGAAGATAATCAAGGAAAAACAAGATCGATTGGGGGATGTTAATAAGGCAGCAAGAACCAACCAAATCTCTTAATTATCTCTAGCTATAGCTAGCTAACTAATGAAGCTTCCCATACGGTGATGAGGGCTGGTTGTCGCTGTTGCCGCCGGCGCCGTGGATGAAGGACGGCAGCATGTCCTGCAGGAGCCCGAAGTCCGGCGCCATGAAGTGCTGCATCTGGAGCGATGGAGGAGATGAGGCGGTGGCGGTGGCGCTCGCCACGCTCCTTATTGAGCCGGTCAGGCCCTGGGTCGGCGCTTGGTGGCCCGCACCGGCGCCGGCCATCGGCGCCGTCATGCCGTGGTGGGCGCGCGGCTGCAGGAGGCCGCCCAGCACGTCGATGCCGCCGCCGCTGCTCCGGCCGAACGGCGATCCGGCGCGGCCGCCCATGCCCATCTGTGGCAGCATGCCGAGATGGCCGTGGTGCTGGTGATGCAGGTGCGCCGCCTGCGCGGCGAGGAGGTGGGTGCTGCCGCGGAGCGCGGAGGGGATGGGGTGCGTGTGCTTGCCCTCGTACGTGGTGATCACCACAGCCGGGTCCTGGAACGACCGCTCCACCCTCTTCTTCACCACACACTTCTGCGTCGTGCACCGGTAGTAGCTCCTGCACCCACACATCACCATTATCAGCACAAACACATAATACATAATCGTTCTTCGTCCCTAGCTACATACCAAAATCGCCCATGCACATGCGGTGCAACTGCCTATGTATGTACGTACATACGTTGATACGTACCTGGGATATGGGCTGTTCTTGACGGCCTTCTGGCCGTACTTGCGCCAGCGGTAGCCGTCCTCGAGGTGGTCGACCTCGCTCTTGGTCATGAAGGCAAACCGCGGCTGCCGCGGCCGTTTCTCGCCCTTGCCCGCCTTGCCGCCCTTGGCCGCCGCCGAAGACCTGAAAAGATGTCGATCACGCGTCGGTGAGATGAGATATCAGTAGCGGAAAGCGGCGGAATCGTATACCATTTGGCTGTCTCGATAGCTTAGCTATCTACTCCTAAATCCTAATCCTAGTGGTGGATAGAGATTTCGTTCATACTACGATCGATCGACTACGATATGTATGGTCTGGCCTCCCGGCCGGGATCCCGTTCAAACATGCGTGGTTGTTGGCGTGGTCTATGTAAGAGCGCACATGGTTTTTTAGGAGGTTCACATTGTGCCTGGCCTTTTTGCTGCCCCCTTTTCTGCTCTTTGGATTTTCTGGGAGATGCGTACATATGATAGGTTGCACCAAAGTAGAACTTGAGCAAATCCTAGATGGGGGAGGGTCTCTTAACTGGGCATGGTTTCATTCTAGAGATTATTGGGCATGATTTTGACAAGATGGGGCCATGGGGTGGAAGAAGAAAAATGAACAAAGCATAAAAGTAGAAAAAATGCAAGAGGCAAATTTGTGATGAAGATTTTGAAGATGAAGCAAGTAATCAAGAGTTCAAGACACGAAATCAGATTTTATGTTTTTATTTTTTTTTATTCTTGATTGTCAGGCTCAGGCATGCAAGCTCGGTGTGAAACCCTAGCCGGGTTCACACCTTGGCCAGCCGGCCAAACTACCTTAAAAGGGGAATAAAGAACAAAAAAAGAACAGAAAAGGCATGAATGAATGAATGGCCAGCAAGCAATTCAAGGAAGCGAAATCTAGCCGGCCCCAAATCTTGATCCAGTATTATCACAGAAAAGAACTAGGGGCAGGTAACCAGATTAGGCAGTCAGAAGGACCAAGAACTCGCCAAAAGGGACGCCCCAAGATTTCAGATCAAGACACAGAAAATCACAACCAAGGGAGAAATTAATGCAGTCCAACTCACCCTTTCTTGCTCTTGTCACCCTCATCTCCCCCCTTGCCGTCCTCCCCGTCGCCGTCCTCCTTCTTGCACCTCCCCGCCGAGTCCCCCTCTCCGGCGCAGAGGCCTCCACCGGCCTCGCTCGACGAGGACGACATGGACGACGTGGCGTTGGGCGTCCCCCCGCCGCCACTGGGAGTGAGGGCGCCGCCGCTGGGCGTGGTGTCCACCACCAGCTCCCTCTTGACGACGTCCTCCGCGGCCGGCAGCTCCAGCGCTCTGCACAGCAGGTCGTAGTCCATGGGCGTCTGCAGGTAGTCGGCGAGCCAGGAGGCCTGCTGCTCCTGCTGCTGCATCCCCGGCCCCGGCCGCTGCGTGAAGAGCGACGCGAGCTCGTCGTGGAACTGGAACTCGCCCGACATAGGCGCTACGCTGTATTGCTTCCGCTGCCTGTGGGAGATAGATGGTGCAGTAGCTCGATTACTCTTGGAGGTGGCTTATGAAACGGAAGGGAGGAGGAGAGGGATCGAGAGGGAAGCAAGCATATAGGGGAGGTACTAGTAGTGGTGGTATGGTGGTGGAGGTGCAGTGATTAGTGAGGCAAGCCGAGGAGACAGCGAGAGGTGTGTGTGTCTGCGAGAGAGCGAGAGGGAGCGCAGCTCCTAGCTATATCTTGGGGATTCAGAGAGAGAGAGAGAGCGGTGATGTATAGAGAGAGGGGGATGGTTGGGTGGGGGCATTTTTTTTTCGATTGGCTTTTTGGCTAGCTTTTGTGAAAGAAACAACCGCTAATTGATTGGGCCCAAAAAGAGAAGAGATAGATGAGATAGATGTCCATTCCTTGGCCTCTTCCCCAATCCCTTGGTTTCTTCCTCTCGGTTTTAACCGCAAGATACTCTATGCTTAGACTTCAGAGTCCAGACCTAGCTAGCTACAACACCGAGTATAATTCTAATATACTGGAGTACAGTATAGTAATAGTAGCACCGTAATTTGTAATGTAATGGTGGGGGGTGGGAACGGTCCACGGTCACGGGGTGAGTCAGCGGCGTGCACCGGCGGTAGCCGGTCACATGTAGGGGTCAAAGCGCGGCGCCGCGGTCAATCGTTCAGACGGATGGGGCATGACACGTGTACGTCGCCCTTTGACCGGGCCCTACCCACCCACGCCAGCGTGACGCTACGTGATCTCTGCTCTGCTCTGCGCCCTCCGATCTCGATCTCGAGAGCGAGCTGACGGCCGCTGATGCTGGCGGTGGCATTGCATCATGGCATACGATGAGACCAAGGGAATAACATGTGCGGGGTCAAGCTGGCAGTGGCAGGTGGGGCCATTTCCATTCGGAGACAGTGCATGACTCTGCACGTCGGGGCATCGGGAACTGCTTTCGATCGATCGCCATTTCCATTTCCATTTCCATTTCCCTGCAAAAGATCATAGAAAGGGAGCCTTAAGTGAGACTGTTTCTGTTTGGTCTCTCACTCGGCTCCTGTTGCGTCCAGCAGAAATATTTAGAGCGCAAGTGCATGCTACGCATACCATCCGATTGTTTATACTATCCCAAGTAGTAGTACAGTACTACTATCTATTTCCGTTCTGTTCGAGTTTGCTGTTTCAGGGCATGATTCATTTTCGTGTGCATCAACTTTCAGAATCTATATGTGTCTTCAAGTGTTCGATCGGAGCGATTCGATTATGGTCTCAGTTTGTGCTTGAGTGGAAGCGTCGGGGCCGTCCATATAAAGCGTGTGAATCCGAGTAGAAAACGCCCGCACGTCATCATAGGATAGGATAGTATTTGTCCAGCTCGTGCACCGGTGTTTTGCGTATGCCGTGGCGGTGCGCCTGACCTGACCTGAGACCAGGGTACGCGGCGCGGCGCTAGCTCTGCGTCCCGACGTCTCATGTGAAAAGCGAGGCGTCGCAAGCATGGCCTCCACGTCGTCCACGCTTATACTACACGCTAACGCCGGCAACACCGTGTCTCCTGGCTAAAAAAACCGTGCGGGGCGGGCGGCGTCTGAAAGCGGCCGGGGCCGTGCCGGTGCGCGTGAGCGGGGTGTGAACCGTCGGGAGCTCGAGCTCGATCGATCGCGCGGGCGCGCACCGCGGTACTCGTCCAGGCACTGTGCGCGCAGCAGCACATGCCGATTTGGATCTGACACGATCGTCAGCCAGCACGGCGGTGTGCCGGTACGGTACGGCGGACAAAATTACTATTATGACCTATAAGGCTAACAAAATCCCGATTTGACCTCGTTTCAAAAGAAATTTCGATTCTGACCTTTTTGGGTGACGCCAACATCCCTGTCGTCTGGGTTGCGAAGCAGACGCCAGGGTCCCTGGCGTCTGGCCCCTGACCCGTTCTGCCCGCCTGCCCGTTAACCTGCTGATGTGGCAAAGGGGCCAGATGCCAAGGACACTGGCGTCTGGCTCGCTTTGCTCGCGCAGGTGACCAGACAAGTTGTCTGGTGTGTCTGATGGATACCCAGACGCCAAGGTCCATGGCGTCTGCCTCCCACAACCAGACGCCAAGGACCCTGGCGTCTGGTACCTATCCTGTGCTGGCTCCCCTGCTTTACCCTGTTTCTGGTGTCAATCGATAGCCAGACGCCAAGGAACCTGGCGTTTGGTCCCCTGATTTATAGCCAGACGTCAAGGACCCTGGCGTCTGGTATCTACCCTGTGCATATAAATGAGTAAATGAGTCCTCCTTTTGACAGATTTCATGGCAATCAATGAATTCATAGACATCACAGGAAACAACAATTCACATAAATCACATCATTGAGTAGTACTTTTAAACGACAAATTCATGTCAAACATTCTTAGCAACTTCACGAATCTGGTGCAACTTAATTCGAACGGCAACAAGTTCATGGAAAGAAACGACAACAAGTTCATGGAAAGAGACTACACCAAGTTCATCGAAACAAACTAGAACAAGCTCATTGAAACAAACTACAACAAGCTCACTTCTTCCTTCCTCTCTTCACGATATCTGCAAGTGTATGCTCCTCCTCTTCGCTAGCCTCATGCTCCTCCTCTTCGCTAGCCTCCTCCGCCTCCGCATCATTGTTGGACTTATATCTTTGCATTCCCGTAGGCATAAATTGATGAGGATACTCCGAACTATGGAATTGAGTGTTCCATATCTTCTTTCTACCTTTCTGGCCTGGTGTCTTAGCTATTGCTTTGCCTTTTTTAGAGCGGGCATTGCCTTGTGTCGGTTGTGTAACCTGTGATGGTTGTGGAGCATCAACATCATACTCATGATCCTCTTGATGTGTTGCATCATACTAATGCTCATCATAATGTGTTGGCTCCTCTTGATGTGCTGGCTCCTCTTCATTGACCTCCTCCTTTATGTCCTCTTCGTTCTGGACATAATGCCGTTTATTAGCTCTGGCGGCGCGGCTACCAGGTGCATACACGTCGCTGGACTGAGCACCATGGCAAGAAAGCATAGCTGCCATCTTATGGAACCGCTTCTTGAACTTCTGCGACAACACAAAATATGCTATGATATGAGATGCAAATAACTAATCCGCGAAAAGAAACTTTTATAATATATTGCGACTAACCTCCATCGTGCTCCTAAGAGTCCTCTCAGATAATGCACCACCAGGTGGATGACTCAGTGCAACATTGGCATCGTTGACGCACAGAAGCAACTCTCTGCCCTGCAATTCATGAACACACCAAACTTATGTATTTGAAAGAAGACAACATGATGCAAGTATGTTAGAATCGGTCAAACAGGCTACCATTTCGTCATGCATCGGTGCATAGTCAACGTGAGCCCCTCTGGTGTCTCTCACAGCCGTGTTGAAGGTTTGGTAACCTTGTGCAGTCTCCGGGTCTTCAGACACCAACTCCGACCACTCCTCATGAGTCCAACCAGGCTTCAGCTTCAACCGGTAACGATCCGCATACCACACTTGATACTTCTGATATGCTGACTGATTGTGAGGTCTATTCTCTGATTGCACTAACGTGTCTTTTTGATTCCAAATTTCTATCCACGCACGGTGTTTGTTTGCCCAATCCGATATATCCTGATTGTTCCTTCGATCGAACCTACAAATGATGCACGGGACAAAGCATTAGCAAACATTGACTTATTCAATGATCCACTACATACTCAAGGCATGCTTGCTTACCGATGCAGAGATAACATTTCCTCCTTGCTCTCCTCAATTGGAATACCTTGTCTTCTTCCAAATTGTCCTGCCACACGGTCTACAAAGTGCCACTCGACTGCGAAGAAGCATATCATTGGGCACCTCGCCCGCCAAAGATGGCTATCACGCGTGCACATCTCATTAAGATCAAAGTCACGATCTTCCACATAAGGCAACCAATATACCTGCAAAACAAAAAGGTACATTGTTAGCTACATAAGTTTCATTATTGACTAAATTTTATCTCATCGAACTTCTCAAAACCTGCTCAGCAGTCAAGGTGTCCAGCTCGTTCATATAGCACTTGTATCGCACATGCGAGCTTCCTGTGTAGACTGTTACTTGTTCCCAATAGTAAGCAAGCGTAGGGCGCCGATATGGATCATCATCATGCAACCCGTCATGATTACCCCGTGGGTTTGCCATGAGGGGGTTCTTGAAATCGGGCCGTCCAACCGGGATCCGCTCCCACATCCACACGGATAGGCTCCAAACAAACCCAGACAATGAGGATGTATCTCCCTTCCTCCGACACGCCAAGTCAAGCTGCAATCACACAAACATGTTAGATATGGAGGCGCATGACAAATGCAAGATAAATGGTTGCAAATATCTCTTACCTGACGATACAAATATGCTAGTGCGGCCGAACCCCAGCTATACTGGGTATCCCAGTTATTGAGTAGCTCCAAGAACATCCAGAGGGCTGAGTTCCCGATTGCATTTGAGAAGACTACCTTGGTTAGTACATACCAAAGATAGGCCCGCGCGTACTGTTGCACAACCACGTCATTGGCACCCTGAGGGCACGAATTGGTGTCTCCTCTGACTAGTTTTAGCCAAGAATGCCTCACTCTCGCGGTATCGGCCTTGCCTTCTTGAGGGTCGTCGGGCTGAACACCAATTAAAATGCCTGTCCGTTCTCGCCAATTAACGACGCTGACACGACCGGTAACAGCTTGTCCGTCGATAGGAAGACCGCTTATCATAGCCATGTCCTCTAGGGTCATTGTCAGCTCCCCACATGGAAGGTGGAATGAGTGAGTCTCCGGCCTCCAACGATCCACAAGTGCGGTCAACGCCGCGTGGTTCACGGTGGAGCGCGTCGCTTAAACTGCAACACGAATGGGAGAAGACCCAATCTCCGAATATAAGGCTCGTACCGCGGGTCGTAAGTAAAGCCATCAGCGGAATGACCCCTCATGCGCATAGCAACTACATGCTGCAAATAAAGTGA